ACATGGTCACTCTGACTGGGGAGAAGGTGAGGACCCGGGGAGGGCTGCAGGAGCTCCTGCCTGGCCTCCCCCTGGCTGGGGAGGCCAGGGGCCCCGGCCCCTTCCTGACCAGCTCGCCTGGCCCCCCAGGTGGACGTGCACATCATGATGCAACCGCCCTCGGGCGAGTGGCTGTACCTGGACACGCTGGTGACCAACAGCAGCGGGCGGGTCTCCTACACCATCCCCGAGACCCACCGCCTGGGTGTGGGCGTCTACCCCATCAAGATGGTGGTCAGGTGAGCCCGCCTCTGGGGAGTGAGCAGGCCAGGCCGGCCACCTCCGGGACAGGGAGGAGGAGGTCTGGTGGGTTCTAATGAGCCCCCACCCCCACCCCGCCGCAGGGGAGACCACACGTTTGCGGACAGCTACATCACCGTGCTGCCCAAGGGCACGGAGTTTGTGGTCTTCAGTATCGACGGCTCCTTTGCTGCCAGTGTGTCCATCATGGGCAGCGACCCCAAAGTGCGGGCCGGGGCCGTGGACGTGGTGCGGTGAGTGACGCCGAAGGGCACTTCGGGCTTGGGGGCAGGAAGCTCCCGGAGGCCAAGCTGGGGAGGGCTCTGGGACACTTGGCAGGGGCTCACGGAGTCAAGCACCGCCACTGTCTAGCGGTGTGACCTCTTGATGTGGATGCCTCAGTTCCTCAACCTGAACAGTGGGGCTCCTAACGAGACCAGTTACGCCTGCTGCCGAGCGCACCCATGGGGACTGGGCAACCTGGCAGACTGTCCTCGCCGTGGCTACTGTTTCTGCTGAGCCCCATCGGAGACGCGCTCTCCAGCGGCCCAAGGAGAGACTGGCGGGGCAAGGAGACGGGGTGGCCCAGGAGGGAGGCCGGGGCGGCCGTGGGACACCCAGGCCTCCCCGCTTCGCCCCCAGGCACTGGCAGGACCTGGGCTACCTCATCATCTATGTGACGGGCCGGCCTGACATGCAGAAGCAGCGGGTGGTGGCGTGGCTGGCCCAGCACAACTTCCCCCACGGCGTGGTGTCCTTCTGTGACGGCCTGGTGCACGACCCGCTGCGGCACAAGGCCAACTTCCTGAAGCTGCTCATCTCCGAGGTGGGGTCCCAGGTGGAAGGGCTCAGGGGCGGGGCGCGGGGCGCGGGGCGGGAGGGCCGTGCCCGTGCCCACGCCAGTCTCACCCACAGCTGCACCTGCGCGTGCACGCGGCCTACGGCTCCACCAAGGACGTGGCGGTCTACAGCTCCATCAGCCTGTCCCCCATGCAGATCTACATAGTGGGCCGGCCCACCAAGAAGCTGCAGCAGCAGTGCCAGGTGAGCGGGCGGGTCGTGCTGGGCGGCACGGGCAGGCAGGCCCCGAGAGCCCAGCCCGTGACAGCCCTCTCCCTCCCCGCCCTCCCCTGCAGTTCATCACGGACGGCTACGCAGCTCACCTGGCCCAGCTCAAGTACAACCACCGGGCGCGGCCGGCCCGCAATGCAGCCACCCGCATGGCGCTGCGAAAAGGCAGCTTTGGCCTGCCGGGCCAGGGCGACTTCCTGCGCTCCCGGAACCACCTGCTCCGCACCATCTCGGCCCAGCCCAGCGGGCCCGGCCACCGGCACGATCGGACGCAGAGCCAGGCGGACGGCGAGCAGCGGGGACAGCGCAGCATGAGCGTAGCCGCGGGCTGCTGGGGCCGCACCATGACCGGCCGGCCTGAGCCTGGGGCAGCCGCGGGCCCCAAGTAGGACACCGTGAGTGAGGCGCTGTGGTCTCCATGGTGCTAGGCCGGGGCGGCCAGCCCTGCCAGGAGGCCTGGCCTGGGCACACAATGTCGGCTGGAGACAAGCTTGGCCCAGGACCTGGCGGAGGACATAGGCTGTGCCACACAGCCCTCCCAGCCCTGCCTCGTGTCCTAGGGTCTGAGGGGTTCCAGCTTGCAGGAGGACCTGTCCCAGGATGACAGAGGGACCAGGACTCCCCACGCGGACTGGCCCGGAAGGCACTCCTAGACATTTGCCCTGCATTGACCTCCCAGCGTCCCGACGCCAGGCCTGGCCCCGGGCCCAGCCCGCCACCTCCCATCCACTAGCTCACCCTGACCCCCAGGTCCTCTCCCACTCGGTAGCAGTTCCGACGGGGGACAGCCTGCTTCTTGTTAACTCGAGTTACTCAACTGTTCAACCTCACTGGTTTTGCACTGATTTTTGAGAGTGGAGATCCATTACCATCTCCTGTGGCCACGGACATGCATGAAAAGCCGACATTCGCTCTCTGGGACCTCTTGCCGCACAGAAGGCTCCAGGGCGGCAAATCCTTGTGCAAGCAGGAGAGAAAGGCCATATCTTAATTTCTGCAGCTCCGCCTGGCCCGCCAGCGCTGTGGCAGCCCCGGACCCCTGCCTACCTGTCCACTCGCCCCACCTGGAACCCAGTCCAGCGGCGAGGCTGGGGAGGCCCAGAGCCGGCTCCCGAGAAGCCACGCCTCGGGCTGCTGGGCCTGGCCCGGCCGGCCTCCTCCGCCACCCCTCGCCTGCCGTCAGTCAAGGCCACGTGCCTCGGCTCTCCCGTTTCTACACCTTTCTACTTCTCCAATCTGATTTCTATGAGGTTTTTTTAAATGAGCAATCCTTGGCTGCTTCCTTTTCTTAACTCTTTCAGTACCAAGCGCAGCCCCTCCACACGAAAACACCCAGCACTGTGACGGAGTCCAGCCTGGTTCTGGGTCCCGGGGCCCTGCCCCCCACCCCCGCCCATACAGTGGGGCGTGGGGTCCCCGCCTCACCTGACCCCCCATTAATTCCACTGAATTTCTACTCTGGGGTGAGTGGGGCGCACACTTTAAGTTTTTTTTTATGCCAATTCCGTTTTGATGCCGAATCTAAGAAGCCACAACTTGCTTCGTTAGCTTAAGGGCAGGCAGCCACGACGCCATTCCCCTCTCGGTAAGGACCGCGCTGTCCTGCACGCTGGGTCCGAGCATCAGCCCTCCCTCCCCAGAAATGACCATGATCTCAGCTGTGGCGCTCGGCTCCGGGCGGCCCTTCTGCTGCTTCTCCACCTTCTGCGTAAGGGGGGGGAGCCTGCCTGGCCAGGCTCCAACTCTGAGAAGCTGCTGCCAACCTGGACACGGCCTCAGGGCCTCATGGGCTGGGACGGGGAGGCACACCGATTGATGTTAACATTCTCCCGTGTGTAGATATGTACAGCCAAAGGGTCGTGTAAATGTTCCACGAAAGTGGGTTTATACAGAGTGAGAGCTATTTATTTTGTGCAGAGAAAAATTTCTGGAGGGATAGGACCTTCAGGGTTTGTTCATATTTAAGATGTAGCTTTTTGTTTTTGTTTCAGGCGTTATGTATAAAGCAACGATTATTTTATGGACCAAGTTTTAATGTAAGTGTTGCAATGGAAGTGCAATACCTGACCCCCCCCCCCCGCCCCCCCCGGGGGGGGGGGGGGGGGGGACCGCCTGGCCTGACAATCACAGCCCCGCGGGGGGGGGGCCCCCCCCCCGTGGCCAGTGCCTCCTCCTCTGTCGGTCCCACCTCACCCCATTTTGCCTACCACCTGGGTGACCAGCCATCCGGAGAAGCGCCTGGAAGAGTCTCGGGCCTGCCTGCAATAAAGGCTGGGCGGCCTCCTGGCCCGGGGAGGCCATGTGGGCAGTGGGTCCGGCCGCTCCCAGCGGGCAGCTCCCCCAAGCTCCGCACTCCCCGCCCACCTGCCCAGCTGCCAGCCATGCCAAGGACAACAGCAATAGTCCCCTGGGCCTCCCCCAGTGGCCCTTAGCCATAGATGGTGAGATGGGCAGCCCACCCTCCCCGTTGACGTCTCTCTTCTATATCCAGGTCTGCTTCCTGCCTCCCTAAAGATTCCTTTTGGCACAGTCTCTTCTTACGGAAGCACCAGTTTTTCAGAAACTAAGAGGGAGGGCAGAGTCCTTTAAAAAATACCAAAAATGTTTACAGCGTTGGGTGCTGAGCTGCAGGGCTCAGGCCTGACCAGTCGTAACCAAAGGGTGAGGCAGGCCTTGCTGACTGCCACCCCCACCCCAGGCCTGTTAGAGTAGAAGCCTTAGTCCCACTCCCAGCCCCAACCCCAAGACTGAGCCTCGGCCCACCACCCCAGATCCAACCACCTGCCTTCTCTTTGATTTCTAAAGAGGGATTCAGCAGAGACCCCACCCCCAACTTTCCCAGCTCGGTCTGAGCTGTCCGCCCACCTGCCCTGTTGCAGTCTTCAAGTCTGGGCCCCTCCTGTCTCTCTGTCTGGGCCATGTGTGAGCAGTGTCCTGACTCGCCCATCCGCCCTTGCTACCCCTGCACCTTCGGGCCTGAGTGTGCTCTGTATACAGTGTCATTGTCTGTTACACCAATTAAAGAAGCACGAAGGCTTCCTTCTGGGTCTCTTTACTGCACCGGCAACCACAGAACACCGGCTGGGGATGGGGGCCCCACCTGTCCTGGAGCTAAAGCTGTGACGGCGAGAGGCTGTTGCTTCCCGATAAACACCACCCACTACACTCGCTGTAATACCGATACAAGTACACAAGCCTTACCCTGCCCTGGGCCTCCTTCCAGCCCCTTCCTAGACACGAACCCCGTCCATCCTCACAGCAACCCTGAAAGCCTCTCTGCTTTACAGAGCACACAGCTAGGAATCTGGGCCAGGACTCCCGCTCCGGCCACCTGGCCCCAGCACCAGCACTCTGAACAGGTGTCATCTGCAGGAAAGAGCACAGGAAGCAGTCTGCCCCCAAGTCGAGGGGATCGGGCTTAGGAGCCAAGTCTGGGTTTGGGATGCAGCTGGGGGGGAGGGTCAGGGTCTGGTCTAGGCAGGCTGATCTGGGGATGAGCTGGGTAAAGGTGGCTGGTGTGGCCATGACCACCAGGGCACACCCCGCCTTTCCCCAAAAACTCCTGGAGCCCTTGTTTTAATTCTGGAAGTTGGGCAGCATCCTTCCCCGCCCCCCGCCCCCCATCGGCACAAAAAAACAACATAACAAAGTTTCCGACCGTGGAACATTTAATATTTGGGAAGTTAGGCTCTTTCAGGAGATGGGAGAGCTGATTAGGCCAGTGACCCTATCCTCTACCCCCTGCGTCTGAAAGGAGGCTGGGCCAGAGGCCAGTCCACAGGAGGAAAGACAAACACCCACTGGGCTTCCTGCTGCCCACCCCGAAGCCAGCCTCCAGGCCATCCACCAACACTTAGCCAGCAGGGCCCTCAGGGTAGCAGCCCAGCTCGCATCTGGAAGGCCAGGCCATCCCCTCGGGTGGCTTGCTAGAGAAGAAAGCACACAGAAGGGGACACATCAGAAACAGAGCTGGGCGCGGACCCCGGGGAAAGGGGTGACACCAACCTTGTTGATCTCTCTGTGTCGCTCCTTAGTCACGATTTCCTCTAAGACCTCGCCATCTCCCTTAATGAGCCTGGGGGAGGAGGGGAGAGGAGGCTGAGCCTCTGATGCCAGAGCAGCAGAACGAGATGCCAAGCCTCAGGCCCCCACTCCCTTGAGCAGGCGGAACCTAGGCGCCCCCCCCCACCGCCGCTCCTGCCCCTGGGACAGTGATAAAGGCAGCTGGGTAGGCTCTGCCATCAGAGCCCTTTGAAGACACTCCTCAAGGCCCTTCCAACCCCTGCAACTGCTTGCTCTGGGCAATCAGGAAGAAAAGCCTAAGAAGTCCCATGAACGAGTAACCACTTTTCTCTGGTCTCTCGCCCTTTGGCGCTCCCCCTGCGCGCGCAGAGCATGTGGGGCGGAGCTTTGCCGGGGCCCCCCACCTGGTGCGTCCTGTCTCCGGGTCCACCACCTTGCGGATGATGCTCTGCCGAGCATCCCACTCCTCCTTGGTCATGGGCTTCATGGCCTGGATGCGGGACTTCTGCTCATCTGTCAGGACTGCAAGCGGAGATGGCAGGGAGCTGGCGGCTGGCTCTCAGGGAGGGCACGCGTCCCGGCCCGCACCCCGGGCGGCAGAGTACCTGGGCCATCCTCTCCGTGCTCAGCCGACCTGTGCCACTGGTCCAGCGAGGGGCCCGGCAGAGCCTCAGCCTGCTGCGGCTTTGCCTTCTCCTTGCCTTTCTTCTTCAGCTTCTTCTTCCTTTTCCTCCTCTTCTTCTTCCTCTTCTTGTCCCTGTGCTTCCCCCGCTTCTTCCGGCCGCCACTGGAGGAAGAGGAGGACGAGGGGGAAGACGAGCTGGAAGAACTGGAAGAAGAGGAGGAGGAGCTGCTTCGTGGTCTCCTCCGGGCCTTGGGCTTGCTTCTCTCTGTGACGCAGGGAGAAGGTGAGGCTGGCCAGGAGGGTAAGAAGGAGGCCTTCATCCCCTTGCTCTGGCCTGCGGCAGGCTTAGAGGGACCACGGCGGGGTGAGGCGCTCCGGGCAGGGCCTTCCAGAGCAGGGATCGGCTCTCGCCGGAGAGGCACTTTCTGGGCTTCACCCAGTCACTGTCTGACCAGGAGCAGGGCAGCCAGCGCGCCCCCCCCACCCCCCACCCCGATCTCAGCTCCAGCTTCACAAAAGGCGTCATTACGGGCTCCCTTCAGTCCGCACACAATGCGCGGGCCCAGCCTCTGGAATCCGAGTGTCTTTCAATCCAGACATCCGGGTCCCGCGCTCTGCACTCTACTGCTCACCGCGCTCTCTCCACTGCCACCCCGGGAAGCCCACTCAGCTGCCTGCAGCTTCCTCCGTAAACTTCCCACACCCCTTTCCCATTCCCTCCGGTCCTCACCCTCCGCCCCAGAGCTGGTGTTGCTGGCCTTGTGGTCTTGGGATCTAGAAGCCGAGGAGCTCCTCGGAGCGTCCTTACTGCTCTTCTTCCTTCTCTTTTCCGACCCTCGGCCCCGGGACCGGCTTCGGCTCTTGGAGCGCTTGCGAGAGCTGACGTGAGCCATAGCGCCGCGGGCTGGAGACGGGGAGACACGCTTATACTGGGGCTCACCCAGCCGGCCCCCCAGACTGGGCTCCGAGGGCGGCTCTTCTCGGGGCCTGGCTCTCGGGGGCCCAGTGCCCATCACCACCCGGGACAGGGACTGGGCGGGGGGGTCCGCGGCCACCTCACGATCCTCCCCCACCCCCGGGGACCCCAGGCCCCGCGCCGACTCTCGGAGCCTCGGCCCCTTTAAGGGCCCGCCCCCGCCCGGCCGCTCCACGCCTGCGCACGGCCCCTCCACGCCTGGACGCTCCCGCGCCCGTAGGAGCCGCCGCGGTCCTCAGCTGCCAGGTGCGTCCCGATTCCCTCCCCGCGCGCTCCTACCCTCCACCCCCGCGCCCTCGGCGGCCTCGCCGCCCTAGGGAAGGTCCCCGCAGCTGCTCCGTCCCCTCCTAACCGCCCATCTGGCGGGACCGTGGGACCCGCACCACGCCTTCGCGTGAGGAAGCGGCGGCGAGATGACTTCCGGCCGGGGCAGTGCTCCGAGCGGCCGTCCGGCTGGAAAGCGAGGCGCTGCCGCCTTTAGTCCTGAAGCCCCGGGTTCCGTCTCCAGGGCCGCCCAAGAAACGGAGCCTGGCTCTCCGACCTCCCGAAGAGGGAAGCTGCGGAGCCAGGCTTCCGCCCCAGGCGGTTGCGAGGCCGTGCGTGCTCCCCGGCCTCTGCCGCAGCCCTGCCCTCGTCTCCGACCGCCCCTCCGACCTCCAGCCTCCCTGAGTTGCCTGCCGACCTGTCCACCCCAGCAGGCTGTGAGATCCCTGGTCCTTGCGGCGTCCCCACCTAGCGACAGAGCCAGGGCGGGAGCCCTGTGAGGGAGTGCCCCGAAGGCCTGTGTCCGGAGTGGGCAGCTGAGGTTCTGCTGCCGATTTCTCCAGTGTGGAACGAGGCCTGGTGTTCCAGATCCTCCCACCCTCCCAGGGAAGCCAGAACTCAAGATTTCAATACGGAAACCCCTGGTTTGCAAATGTGCACCCCCAAGCCCGGCACAGCTGCACTCCCCCCAGTTTGGGAGCTGCCCAGTTGCAAATTTTTCAGTAATAATGACAGCAAACACAGAGGGCTGCTGTAAAGCACTTTATGAACGTTAACTCATTTGATTCTCACAACAGCTTTAGGAGATAGGTTCTTTCCAGGAGAGGAAACCAAGGCACAAAGAGGTCACGTGGCTGCCCCACAGTCACACCACTGGAAGCCGCAGAATCAGAATCTGAACCCAGGCAGTCTGGCTCGAGTCTTTCCCTTAAACCCCGCTGTGCTAAGCCCTCATCACCAACTAGAAGTTGCTATTGGTGGCTCACCCGAATCCCCTTTATAGACAGATGCTCTCCATCCCTGCTGTGGTGTGTGTTCCTAACTCACCTGTACTCTTCTCTGGAAGGTTCCCTTGGTCATGGGAGCCAACCTGCCCTGGAGATGGGTATCTGGGAAGTCACTGCCACCTCCCCACCCACCGCCCAGTGCCCAGCGCAGCCCAGAGACACCCTATAGCCTCTCTGACCCGGGGGGCGGGGGCGCAGACTGCTAGATTCATGCTCGAGTGCTCCGCAGGATTGGGCTGAGGCTGCATGCCCTTTGAAACCACATCTTGGCCCAGCTCTTTCCCGCCCTGTCCTTCCCTCACACCCTTCTCCTGAAGGTTTTCCTTCAACAAACCACCTGCCCAGGAATCCCCATCTCAGGCTCTGACAAACCTGACCCAAGCCAGCCTGTCTGGGGAAAGAATGACGCAGAAGCCGCTGTGTCCTTTTGAACCAAGAAGTGCCTGAGGGCTGCAGGAAGTTTATTCCTGTCCTACCCTACCCAAGAGGCAGAGCCCTCGCCTGCCATGCTACCCCCACACGGCCCGGCCTGGCTCAAGTCAGGGCGCACACATCCACCACAGGGGGCTCCTCGCGGGTGAAGCCGTCGCCGAAGCCCTCGTCGTCCACCAGGTCAGGTTTGCGGCAGCACATGGGGCACAGGCGGTTACGCACAGCAGAGGCCCGGAGCCAGATGACGAGGTTCCAGCGCTCGCCCGTGCCCAGGGGCCGGGCCCCGTGCAGCTGGCCACCCCGGTGCAGGATGCCCTGGCCCACCACGTGCTCCACCTCCAGGGGCCGGGCCAGGGCTGAAGGCGCCTGCAGGAAGCGGGGCTCAGGCCTGGGCACTCCCGGCTGCCCCAGGCCCTGCGCCCTGGGTCACACACACTCACCTGGAAGAGGCCCCCGAAGTACAGGGCGCCCCCCGTGAAGGCCTTGCCAAGGGCCACGTTGAGGGTGAGCTCGGCGTTATCATAGTGGCAGCCGAGCTCACGGTCCTGGCCTGGCGCGTATTTGACCACGAAGGCCCGGTGGCTGTCAAGCCAGCCCCCTCCACAGTCTGGATACAGCAGCGCTGTCAGTGGCTGCAGGAAGCGCTCCCGCAGGGGCGTCACCAGCTGCTCATCCAGGCCTAGCTCGTGCAGCAGCACCTGGGAGGGGGACCCCCAGGGGTCAGCAGGGAAACTGACGGGGCCTCACCCTGGGTCCCTGCGGGAGTCTCTTACCAAGGACACTGTTATTTGCAGGTACCAGCTTCACAATAATCCTACCATGACCTCATTTTACAGACAGGGAGACTAAGACCCCAACAGACCCCAACAGCTCTTCTCCAGCACCGCAGATACGTCCCCCCAACCCCTGACGCCCCTGCCTCACCCACCCCATAATTGTTCATGGTGTTGGGTCTTCCCTTGGGCATGTCTGACTGCTCGAAGTGCTCCAGCTCCTGCAGCAGGGCCTGGCAGAATGGTGCTGTGAGCACCGGCAGCCGGTAGATACGCTTCGCCCCTGCAAAGGGAGGGACAGCGTGGGTCTGTGTCCTCGTGAGCTCTGTGAGCCTGAGCATGCCGTGTCACCTCCCTCGGCCTCAGTTTCCTCACCTGTACGATGGGGACAACATGGGTACTCACCTCTCAGGGCTGTTGTGACCACTAATGACATACTGTGTGGGTAGCAGGGAGGCCTATTCCTGGGCCCCCTCATTTGTCCCTGGAGACTCTCATCCTGCTTCCATAGGCGCCCACACGTCTAGCCTCTAGACTCCGATGTGAGTTTTGATGAGGCCCAGAGATGGGAAGGGATTAGCCCAATGACACCCAGCAGGCTGGTGATGGAGCCGAGCGGGGATCACAGAGCCAGCCTCAGGCCTTCTCTGCACGGCCCCCCCAAGAGCCATCAACATTTGCACCCCAACTGAAGTGCCCCTTGGAGCCTCTGTTCCCCACACAGGAAGGCTGAGGAGGGCTGCTCCTTCTTGCTGGGCCCTGTTTAGGGAGAAGCCAGGCTCAGATCAGAAATGCAAACATTCCTTGGCAGATGCACCAACGCCCTGGGGTGCGGGGTTCGTGTGGCCCCCACACTTTCCACCAACACACAGCCCAGCCCCACCCAGACCTTCACAGAATCTCCACTGATGGGGAGTGGGTGGCAACGAGGAGGAGTCCCTCCAGGCTAGGAGGGACAGTTTCATTCACATTCCATCCTGTGCCTCACAAGAGAGCACAAGCTTCATAAAGGGAGGAACACTGTACACCTGTCTCCCCACAGGACCCCCAGACCTAGGAATGACACTAACGGTAAGGTAAGGAAACCTCTCCTGAGCACCGTGCACCCGGCCTATTAGGCACATTACCTCACTTAATCACACTTTAGGAGATGGGTATTACTAGTTCTCCCCTTTCACAGATGGTGACACTGAGGCAGAGGAATTAAGGAACTTGGAAGGGCTGGCACTTCCTGCTGCGTTTAGCCAGTGGGAGATCCCAGCAGGAGATCCAAAGGCAGGAGAGACGCATTTCTGAGCTTGGTGTGGCTTTGTGCCTCTTCTCAAGGCCACAGCAGTTACCTGGCAGCCCCTCTCCCACAACTCCAGTCATGGCAGGTTCAAGAAACTTCATTGCCCACTTCTCTAGGTCAAGGGATAGGAACTGTCTCTCCCCAGCCTGCGGTTAGTCCTGGGCTGGGAGATGTGGGGTGGGTCCTTCACCGTCATGCACACCTGTCTTAGCTGTCCCTTTGTTAAGTTCTGCAGTACCCCCCATTTGGGTATGCCAGCTGGTTCACACCCGACACAGGCATTGAGTGAGTATGTGTTGGGCAAGTGAGTAAGTGAATACAGATGCCCTGCTCCTGACAGGTAGTCCCACCAGCCCTTCTAGCTCCTGCTGGTTTGGATTTTGGAGGCAGGCATGGTGGAGGGACCCCAGTCTCCCACCCCCTAGTCCTAGTGCTACTAGGTGATGGGGCCAAGACCTCACCAGACACCGTCTCCAGCCGCTGGAGAAGGCCTTCAAGGTCTGCACCCGGTGATGTGCTGTACTCAGCTGCAGCCAAAAACTCGGGGGCCAGAGCCTCGTCCTGGGGGCAGAACCCACTAGCTGTGAGGCAGACAGGCCCCAAGTCTGGATGCCTCCAGCTTCTTCCAGTAACCTGCCCCTGCCAGGTACCTGCAGCGTGTTGTAGACATCAGGCCGCGCTGGGTGGTAGGAGCTCGAAATGAGGGCTTTCCTGGCAGCCGACTCCTGCCCCAGCCGCTGCCGTCGCTCCACCTCCTGCTCAAGCTGGGTGGCACAGGGCCTAGTTATCAAGATGGGGCCTCACACCCCCCCACACACACAAGGTCACTGTACAGAGGAGGAAACTGAGGCTCAGGAAGGGGCAGGGCCTGGGTTGAGAACCAAGTCTCCCTACACACCCGATTCTATCAGGGTAAACTGCAGGTGCCAAGCTGTTAGCTGAAGGCAACTCCACCCACTCTGGGTTGCACCATTCAGAGTCTGGCTGTGATGGGAACCCCTGGACATGCCCAACTAGCTGGGCCACTGAGGGAGGGGAATGGAATCCCAGCCAAGCCTTGTGTTCCAGAGGCTGCAGAGGGCTGGCCTAGGAAGCTTCCCCTTACTCACCCCCAGGTGAGGAAGGAGACAGAAGATGCCAGCAGCCCTGGCACCAGCCAAAGGGCAGTGGGTGAAGACATGAAGAGGCCGGAGCCCAGCTGCCCTGGGTGGGATCTCAACTCCACCTGCTGTGAAGCCTTACGCAAGTGTCTTAAGAGGGTGTAAGGCAGACAACTTGGCATTTTCCACTTTCTCTTTTTCTGGTGCCAGGCCCCAGGTGCTGCAGTGAGGGGGCACAGGAAGAGGGCAAGGGGAGGTCTCAGGAGCCCTTCAGGGAGCTGGGGCTGGCAGGCCTACGGCTGGGAAGCCCCCTCAAGCTGCTGCCACCAATCTATAAGGGCTAAGAGGAAGGGCCAGGCTGGGCGGGGAGGGTGGGGCGTGTTACCTCTCCTAACAGCTGCTGGAAGTCCTTGGGGCTGACACACCCTCGGCTGCGCAGGATCTGAGAGCAGAAAATCCAGTGAGCAAGTCACTTAACGGCTCTGGGCCTCAGTTTCCCCTCGTTGAGATGGAGATGAGAGCCCCGACCTGACGGGGTCATTGTGAGGATGAAATTCGGGAAGTACGAAGCGTACTTACGTTTAGGGTAAGTACGGTAAGAGAGCATCCCCGCGCCGGGCCCTGCCCGAAGCACTTTACACGTACGTTTACTCATTCATTCCTTACGACCACCTCACTAAGGAGATACTACTATCCCCATTTAAGGTGAAAAAACCCGAGGCACCCAGAGATCCTGTCCTCCTTGCTGTCAGATCGGAGCACCCGGGCAAAGCGAACGGCCTGCCCTCCCATTTCTCCGCAGAGCCGATGGAGGCCACTCACCGGGCCGTAGTCCCGGCGCAGCTGCTGCTCGCCCCGGAAGCGCACGTGGAGCCCGTAGCGCGCCACGTACAAGTTCTCGGAGCAGAAGCAGGCGCAGCGGCAGAAACGCCGCGGGGCCCCAGCCGTCGCCATGGTGAAGGGCCGCGCGCCGCCCCGCCGGCTTCCGTAGGAGCACTTCCGGCGCGCCCCGAGCCGAGCCGGGGACCGGGGTGGACCCCGCGTGGAACCGGCGGCAAGGGTCCGTTCCAAGTTCCCAAGTGCAGAAGAGAACGAAGACTCCGCCCCAGAAAACGGTCTGCGGGGGGGCAGAGACGCCCCCGGGCCAGGGGAGGGGCGGACGGCCTCGGCTGAGAGCGTGTGCTCTTCTCGTGCCGCCTCACGGTTTCCCCGTCCACGAGGCGGGGACCAATCGCCCCTTTACAGATAGGCAAACTGAGTCACACCTTCACAGGACGGGGACAGGTTGGGACTTGGAACCCCCCCCCCAGGCCTTTTGCTTAAATGCCACCTCCCTTTTCTACTCGGAGTTTCTGAAGAGGCAGCCAACGGCAGGAGGACAGTTAGAGGAGCTCTGGGGTCCGATCTCTCCAACTAGCAGCTAGCCGGTTCTGTGCGTCTGAGCTTGGGCTTAGCATTCCTCCCGGGGCCCTGTCCGGCACTCCTCGAGCCTCCGCCGCGGGCTCGGGATTTGCTGCTGAGAGCCCCGGGGCAGTGTCCACACGAAAACGCTCCGTCCGCCGTGACTTCCGGTGGCTGGGCCGAAGGAGTCGAGTGTGGGCGGGGAACAGGGTGTGGTCTGGTGACGGCGACACCCCGCAAGGCGCGGTCCAGGTTCTGCACAGCCGCAGTGTGAGCTGAGTGTGTTTTCTTTTAGAGCGTGCTCCGACACCTCGGGGAGACGCGTCGTAGCTGCTACGTCCCTTGCCTCGGGGACCCCCGCCTTGGTCCGCCATGCACCCCGCAGGTCCAGGTCTGCAAAGCCCCTGGAGGAAGCTTGGACCTCTTGCTGAGATGGGGAAAACTAAGGCTGGGGGTAGGGGATGAAGTCCTGTTCCCGCCCCCAGAATTCCGTCCCTGGCTCAGCGTGGTGCGAGGATGGGGGTGGGGAGGAAGACTGGGGCCTCGAGAGTCCAGCTCTTAGCCCGGATACACAGGTGACCACGAATGGTAACTCCTGTTGGCCGACTTTCACCTTCTGCCCTTTCATCCATACAGCAAGGCTTTGAGCGAGGTAGTAGTATGTCACCCTCGTTACAGTTGGAGAAACAGGCTCAGAGAGGGGCGGCGACCTGCCTGCCCCAGGGTTCACCGCAACAGGGGTTCTCTGAGTGGTTGGATTATGAGGGATTGCAGATTTTCTCTTTGTGCTTGTTAGCATTTATTTTCTTGATGCTTGCCTCTGCCCCCCGCCCCGTGTATGCACGGGTTTACACTCATTCACATTCGCAGTGAGACACATAACGCACTCAAACACACCCTTCTGTGCTCACACACATGCACACACCATCACAAGTATGCTCATACTTTTGACACACTCACACCCACTCATACACAACACTTCACATACAGGCACAGCCACACACTCATCCTCACACACCTATCACCCACACTCACACATCCAACACGGTCCCTGGTTCCTCCCAGCTCTGTGGCAAATTGGGCCCCGAGGCCTGCCTGTGGCTCCTACCGAAGCCCCAGGGCCCCAGAGGGAGGTGGGAGACCCTCACATCCTGTGCGACCATGCCAGGCTGCCCTCTCCAGCTTTCTCCACCAGCATGTCTGCAGGTCCAGGGCTCCCGCCAGCACCTGGAGGGGCTGGGAAGAGGCTTCTGCTCTCAGGGAAAAACCCACACCAACAGCCTGATTGGTTTTCACACTGGCTGGCCAGGGGCAGCAAGACCATCCTGAGTGTGGGAGGTTTGCATGTGAGCATGTGGAAGCGTGTTTTGAGTGACATAAGCTCCCTGCCCTTCTGAAGCTCAGTCAAGGTGGGGAGACAGGAGTAAGGAAGGAAATAAATACAAGATCAAGTTATTTTCATTCAGTCGTAAGTGCTGGGAAGAAAGCCAGGTGATGGGATGGTGAGTGCCTTGGAGGTGGCCGCTTTAGACCGAATGACCGGAGAAAGCCTCCCAAAGAGTGACATTTCAGCCGAGCTCCAATGGCTGCAGCAAGATCTGGCAGCAAAGAGTTCTAGGCAGGGGAATTAAAAGGGCAATGCCCCTGCAGTGGGATGAGCTTGCCATGCTTGAAGAGCAGCAAGGCGTACAAGAGGGCAAGTCCTAGGGGATGACGCCAGAGTGGTACTCGAGCCAAATCACTGGGCTTTGGAGACCACTGTTAACATTTTGGATTTTACTCTACATGTGAAGGGAAGCTGCCAAATCCTCGCAACAAACCGTATGAGGTAGGAGTTGTCCCCATTTTACAGAGGTGGAAAACGAAAGAGAGGTTGAATGGCCCACCCAAGGCCACACAGCTCGCAAGTAGTGGAGTCTGGAATGGAACAGGAGTCTGTTTTCTTTCTCCTTCGGTGCCCTTTCCCCTCTTCAGGCAATAAATCTAGGTTACTGGGTCACGGGTCCTGGGACCCAGCCCAACCCTCCTGAAGGTGCCAGTCTTCCCCAAGGGGGAGAATGACCCTCAGGGCCGCTTCCTCCTCAAGGACCCAGCTCCCCAGCCCGGAGCTGTGTGCCCTGAGAAGGTGTTTAAACTTTCATGGGTGTCTTGATTGCCCAGCGACAGCGAAGGGCCCTGCTCTCCAGGAAAGGATCCATGTCCCCAGTTCTGTGTGCACTACCCCATCTTCCTCCCCCAGAGGCCCAAGGCAGGCCTGGCACATGCATCCTCCCCCCAGTGCACACTGTTAGATTTCTCCCTTTGCAGCAGTTTGCAAGATGAGCGTGTTCTGCTTATCAGTTTAGACTGGCTCTCCCAGTGGTCCCCCTTCTCCTTGGAAGCAGTGTCTCCACCCCTACCCCGCCCCAGCCTGGGCTCAATCGCCAAAGGGAACAACAGCAAGGAATATTAATAGTACTTGATCCATGTGCTCTCAACCAGCACTGATGTGTTTTTGTTGTCTGTGTGAGGTATTACATATTTTTTAAGATTTTTTTTTTAAGTAATCTCTACACCCAATGTGGGGCTCGAACTCAACCTCGAGAGCCAAGAGTCGCACGCCCTGCCAAATGAGCCAGCTAGGCGGTGCTCCTGTTTGAGATATTATTAAACCTATTTTACAGATGAGGCTCCGTGAAGTACAGGGGCCTGTCTAGGGCCATAAACCTAGTAAGTGACAGGACCAGAATTACAGTACCCATCTTTCTATCTGATTCCAGAGTGTATTTGTGGGGGTGTGTACATATGCATACGTCCATGTGTATATGCATGTTGCAATTACGTGTAATTCTATGTATCTATACACATTCTTTTGAATTCATATAGAGCACACTACAAAAAAGGGCACATCTCTGGTGTACAGCTGGTGAATTTTTATAAACTAGACACACCCATGTAACCAGCATCCGGTTCCCAAAACAAAACATTCCAGCCCCCACCGTGTCCCTGCTCAGCCACTACCCACCTCCGAAGGCCAATCACTACCCTGACTCCTAAGAGCCAGGATTAGTCTGGCCTGCTGTTGAATTTGGTACAAATAAAATCATATACCATGTATTGTTTTGTATACTGCGTCTTTGACTCAGCATTCTGTTGGTGAGATTCATGGCTGTTGTCCGGTGTAGTGGGCGCTCGTGCTTCTTCGTGGCTGCCTAGCATTCCACTGGGGGCCCACTCCATCCCCCGAGCCATTCTGCAGCTGAAAGACGCTTGTATTGTTTCCAGTTTGGAGATGTCTCGAATGAAGCTGCTAGGAACACCTGTAATTTATCTTTTGCAGTAAAATATACATAATATAGAACTTACCATTTTAACCTTTTTTATAATAGACTTTACTTTCTTTAAGATTTTATTTATTTGATAGAGAGAGCGCGCACACAAGCAGGGGGAGTGGCAGGCAGAGGGAGAGGGAGAAGCAGGCTCCCCGCCAAGCAAGGAGCCCGATGTGGGGCTCGATCCCAGGACCCTGGGATCATGACCTGAGCCGAAGGCAGCCACTTAACCAACTGAGCCGCCCAGGCGCCCCTGGACTTTACTGTTTATTATTATTATTATTTTCAGGTTTTATTTATTTCGACAGAGACAGCGAGAGAGGGAACACAAGCAGGGGGGAGTGGGAGAGGGAGAAGCAGGCTTCCCACGGAGCAGGGAGCCCAGTGCGGGGCTCGATCCCAGGACCCTGGGATCATGACCTGAGCCGAAGGCAGACGCTTAACAACTGAGCCACGGAGGCGCCCCTGGACTTTACTGTTCAGAGCAGTTTTAGGTTTCACAGCAAAACTGAGTGGCAAGTACAGAGATTGACCATATGCCCCACTCCCCCCCACTATCAACATCCCTCACCAGAGTGGTACATTTGTTACACGTTATTACCCAAAGTCCATGGTTTACACTAGGGTTCACTCTTGGAGTTGTCTCTTCTGGGGTTTGGGGCAATGTAGAATGACACATATCTACCACTGTGGTCTCATACAGAATAGTTTCACTGCCCTCAAAATCCTCTGTGCTCCACCTGTTCATCCCTCCCTCCTCCCCAACCCCTGGCAGCCACTGATCCTTTTACCACCTCCATGGTTCTGTCTTTTCCGGATGTCATATAATTGGTATCAGCATATAGTCTTTTCGGATTGTTTCTTTCACTTAGTAATAGGCATTTATGTTTCCTCCATGTCTTTTAGTGGCTCGATAACTGAATAATACTATATTGTCTGGATGGGCCACAGTTGATCCATCCCCCTACTGAAGGACATCTTGCTTGCTTCCAAGTTTCAGCAGTTATGAGTAAAGCTGCTATAAACATCCACTTGCAGGCTCTTATGTGGACATCAGTTTTCAGCTCATTTGGGCCAATA